CAATGCATACACAAACAAAAATAATTCCATACTGCATCGGTCGTCGCGCAGGATAATCAGGACCGCGCTGCCGATCTTCGAGGATAGTCATTTAGTTCATTTTGACTCGACAGTAAAGAAGGGAGACACAGATGACCATGCGGTAATTACAACGGAAAACATCTTGCCAAATCAGGCCTTCTATGCAGTTTCGGCTTGCTCTTTGTCACAAATCCACATCCACTCGTCACTTTGGGAAAAACTTAACCCCAAAGCTTTACAAAAGTTTCCTTCTCTTTTCGATTCTCGTTTCCCGGGGACGACGCAGTCTGAGCAAACTCTACACCGCGCCGACCCAAACACAGTACGAGGTAGACGAATGGTGCATATTTTACAGTCTAAGAACAAAACATGAATGAAAACATCTTGGCGGACGGCTGCATCTGAAAACAAACACACTCAAATAGAAGTATTTGGCAAATGGCGATTCTATGATGACCGAGTGCTGGTGAGCAGATGCGTCGATTGAACTCCACAACTGTCATCCCCTGCCACCTGTTCATTTCTTTCTGCGGTTATTGCTAGTCCAATACTGTTTTGTGGAAAAGTGATTATGGACTACTTCGTTCATATAAGAACTGAACACGATTTACATTCTGTAATGACTTAGATACCGTCAGATGTGCTACCCGATAAAGAAAATATAATGAGAGTTAAATTCAGATTTTTGATTATTCCCGTAGGACAATAGTACTCAACAATTATAGCTTTGTAAACCTCAGTCCTTGCCATTGGTTTAAATTCGCGTANAGCCGGGAATTATGGTGTTTAAAAATGGATTCGATTTTGAATAGATTGATGTGAATAAGTCAGCTACCACAAGGTGCATATTTTCCGGATTTGGATTTGGAGTGAACAACTGCAACCGGATGGTGGACACAGAAATGCTAACCGTCACAAAGCAATAGTGTGTATCCACCCCGGCAAACACCATTGCGGATTCTCCTTCGGACATGTCATTTCAGAAACATGTTTCCGTATTATCACTCCTGTTATTTGGGTTATCAGGCAACATTGCTGGGTTGAAATTCAACCCGAAGTGTTCAAAGAGATGTGCAAAAAGTGGATGGGAACAGACCGGATATCAGGGGTTGATAAATCAATGACGAATGCGACCGAGCAGCAAGCATATTGATTTACGTAGTTCTAGGCCCAACCTATACCTTAGTCAATCAACCATCAGGGTTAGTTCATTGCAGAAATGGATCGTATAGCCAGCTTACTGGTACCAGTCAAATTTCAAATTCAAATTGCCATCTGTCAACACAAACTGTAAATTTGCATGAGTAGCGAAAGTAACAAACGGTGAATGTACAAATGTCATAGAGTATGTATTAGAAATATCTAACTATACTCCGTTGTGGTTGAAGTGGAAGAGTGCCTAACCAAAATAAAAACAAGGAACTGAAATCCATTTTTCCACAAATAACAGGAAGAAACGGGGAACAGACCACGTACTGGTTGTGTGAAACCCATGCGAGCACCCGGCCACAAACAAAACGGTAGCCAGCCCACCAAGCGTGCGAATCCACGGAATAATTGCATTGGTCAATGCGGCCACAATCAAAGCGAGAGCAACCATAAAACCACGTTGCAGTTTCCACTGATCCGATGCCATTCCACCGATTACTGAACCGCTTAAGAGGCCCACTGACCGGATGGACAAAGCCAGTCCGACTTGTTCGTAGTTTGAATTGGTTTGATGCATCAATGTGGGCAAAGTGGGACCTAAAATTTCGCTATACAAACCCTGAAACGTTAGAAGGAAGAAAATAAATGAACTCCAGTGGTGAACTGTATTCGACAAAGTGGGTGAACGTAACAGGACCAGTGAGAAAAATTCAAACGTTTCATTCTATATCACAGAAGTATCACGAATCCAATTGAGATCTTTTAAGAATTCAATATAAGACGTGAAAATATCTTAAGTTCTACATAACGCTTTTGAATGTCGACCGTTGTATTTTCTCAGTACAAAATAGGAATTTAAGACTTTAACAAAGATTACCAATGAAATGCCGGAACAGAAAATGGACTGGATTAGTTGTGTTTTTGATGAGACGATAAAAATAATATTTCACCCTCACGAACAAATCCTAGGGGGGTCACAACTTCCTACCTTCTGTAGATGATACTACTAGATAGGTTCGGAAATTTTTCTCGTGTGCCACATGTGCCCATCCCACCTTGGCTGTGTCAATGATCACCTCGATTGGTCATCGAGGCACATTGGGCACCTTGGGTGTTTGACACTGTCCAAAAGGCCTATAATTTGATGAACTGGACACTAGTACCCAATGAAATGTGGTTTTTTTGCATCTACCAGTTACCCTAAGGGTCAAGCTTTAGTTAGCTGAAGACTCAGGTTGTGAATTCAAGAAAATGCATCTGCTTTGGTTTGTGAAACTTGGCAGTAAACTGCCCATAAGCAAATCAGGGAACCTTTTTACTTCTCATAAAGATTATTGCACTATAACTTGTTTAGGGTGTATATACAGATAGCGGGCTAATTACTTTGCGGGCAGAAAGTATTTCTTATGATAAACTGGCTTGATACGTGCACCCGTGTCCCTTAAGATTATGTTCTCCAAATCGTGCGTTTAATTTCTATCAGGATACCGACACCGAGGATTTAAACATCCCTCGCTGCACCATATCGAAATCCATTTGTGAATTCCAATGTGACTAGATTTTTCTGCAACAATAATGCATTCAGAGGGACATAAATACCAGATGGTAAATTTCAAGCCGACTTTTTTGATGTCACCTGCAATAATGTCGTTAAACAGTAAAGGGAAAGCCAGAGGACATAACGCGGATCCGTGCAGAACTACTTTCCGGCTCTAGGTACTGAAGATGACTAAGGACGAAGATTCGGCTGCTATTCTGATGGAAGGCGGTACAAAGAAAGTCCTGGCTAGCGACTGAATCAAGAATGAGGCTCATCCGACCAGACGCGCAGACGCAGCGGCGGGAAGTGCCTCGCGAGACAATGTTGACTGCCACCCGAAACGAGCAAATCGACAATTACAGTCCGACAGACAATCCGCACCTAACGGGAAAGATATCCACCGAATGACACAACGTCGGAGCTATTGATCAACGCATCTCGCGCCGCGATCGAGTCAAACCAGTCGGAATGGCACGCGGAAGAAGAGGCAACGTACGTGCCAAGTGCGGACCAACCAACAACGAATGATCCACAGAAAGAGGCATGAATCATCCCGCCGCGCGATTGAGAATTGATTGTATATAATCGAACGCATACACCGTTTGCTTCCGAATTGGATCAATAAACGTTTTCCCAGCCAGCCCGCCTTCTCGCTACACTATGAACTAAACACTATGTTTGACTTTGTGCAAACAATGGTGAAAAGTAGTCGCTTCGGGAGTTTCACAAAGGACAGACGAGCAAACGCAAGGATGCCACTTTTCGATACATAAAAATTAACATAGAGAAATGTTTCAAAAGTCCTCACTCACCAACGAGATCCAGGAATAGACTAATGCGGCCGTCTTCGCGTACATTGGCCATGAAATTCTGGTGCAACCACATTTTGAACGCTTTTGATTCTGAGCAGTAGTTGCTTCCTCAACAGGCTGCATTGAGTTAAAAACTTGAGGTACTACAATTTCATAAATGTCCAGTGGTTCTGGTCACAGCTATGTATCAAAGAGGAAAAAATGATTTTTTTTAACAAGATGAACTATATCACCGACCTAAAAGTTGTGTCAACTTCTTCCTTCTATACATGGGGTAATGGGAAAAAACGGTTACAAAACATAACTGGAAAAAACAGCAATGCATTTATTTGTTTTAATATACACTTTCTGATGTTTTTCCGGTTTGTGATTTGAGTTTCCTAATACACATGGGGAAGAAACAGACGGTCAACGCTTGCACTACGGAGATTCCTCCTAGGCCATATCTCTTAGCTTTACTAACCAACAGTCTTTGGGTTCCAACCAGGTAGGCGGGAAGTATCGACTGAACCCAATACCGAAGAAGAATTTTCTATAATTTTATGCCAAGGTTGATAACTCCGTCGCGGCGCGTCTTTCAACCTTTCCCAGCTTATGTCAATGAGTAAGGAAAATTAGAGGATGAGCATACATTTACAATTGCAATTGAGCCATTGAATACGATAGAGAATGTGAGCGATTATCAGCCCCACACACTCGAAACAGAAATTTTTCGTCGACCAACAGATATTAACAGCTAGTATGAGGGACCATCGGTGCTCGAATATAGAAAGTTGATGAGCATTCTCAACGCACAGAAGCCAGGTCTGGCAGCCTAAAAATTAACCGAACTGCCATAAGGAAATTGTTTGTCACGGAGACACCAAAGATATCGAATGTTTGGTAAACATCAATCTGTGTTACACTAATCGCGATGTGAGCTCTTCCTCAAGATTACCTCTTGGTGTTATCAAGCTACCGGGGGTTCTTAAAGCTTTTGACTGTTTCAAGCTGAGCGCCAAAAAGGGTGAGTGCAGTCACATGCACCTGCTAGTCTTATGGTAATACTTTGAAGTGGAATGGTGTACATTACATGCCTATCTGGATACTCCAATCACCAATCGGTTGGAAGCAAGTTGGATTATCTGTACACTTTCAATCCGCAAGATGATCTTATCTATGAAAAACATCTGTGTTTATGCATTCATTCAAATACATAAAAGAACGCTACCTGGAGCGGCAACCGATAGGGGAACAACCACAAAATTCGTAACCGGGCGTGAATAAAGTGAGTTCATATTCACTGAATGATTGGCAGCGGACAAATAACGGCAGTACCTGAGGATGTCGTCGATTCCCTATTGGCAAGCTCTCTACTTATAAAACGCTACAAAAGCTGGATGATGGTACCCTGACCCACCACTGATGGAGTCGTCGGTAATAGCACTGATCCATTTATTCGACAGGGTTTTCCGGAGGAAGCGAATGAGCCAAATTACTGACCACCAACTAGCTGGTAACGATTCTGCTGAGTTTGAGGGTTGCACCAGTATACGCAAAGGCAAGAAATGCAAGCTTAAGTAAAATGACCGAATAATGCTGGGGATACCACTACTAGTCTGACTCCGGCAAATATCTTTCGGTCATTATGAACCATGGAGATAACTGGTTGTCTAGCAGAGGATAGGCGTCTAAAAGCAAAAGTAATCGGGATACTGAACTTTAACCGACGGAACAGTGATCAGTTACGAAAATCCTGGTGTAACTTGTTATAACCGCAAAGGATTTAACTCGGTACTGGATTCTCAAAAGATCGTCTTCCTGTAAGGTTTTCTTGTCCAGATAGGAACCCCACAGGGAGTGTAACAGAACAGCTGGAAGCGTGTAGGAACGCGATTATTATGCAAAAATCATGGTTATTTATAGGGGAGAGGACAGGGAATGCATATGTCAAACGATTGGTTGACTGGGCTGCTGTCAACAGTCTGGATTGGTTGGCGGTTGCAACCAATCACTTGATTTCGCCCATTGTTGTTCTGATTGGTTGTCCCAGAACAAAGTAGTTTTCAGGAAGCATGCGGACTCCCTGACATAACTACAGTAAGCAATTTTCGTTGGTCAACCCACATCCACATCTGCATTTCAAATTCCAAAGCCCAGGCAGTTTCGCGCTTGATAATGGTTGTAAAAACAAACAGGAGCCTTTGAATATCAGCGTGTTTTCCCCATTGATTCCCAATTATCTTCCTTAGCTCACATAAACAGGATTTCAAGGTTTTACATAGCGGTATAACCTATTAGTAACGGTGTTTCTTCTATTACTGTGAACGAGTTAACAATGAAAATTTCGGATTACCATATAACTTCTTGTGTCTAATTGGCGCAGACGGTTCTCGCAGATCCCGTCCACCCATTGCAAGCAAAACTGTCGCGTTTCCGTTCCCATCACTCCACACGATCTCAATTCTGCTAAATTTCATCTCATATAAACGCTTACAGAAAGTCACCATTATACTATCTTGCACGTTTACTCACAAATAAAACGAGGGCAACAAACGAAATTCCTGTTAACCTTTGACTATGAAAATGGCCATATGTCTGCTAACACTTTTTCCCCGCTGAAAATGTTCTCTGTGACAGATGGCGTGTGCAGATTTTTATCTGAAATGAAATCATCAGAGCTTCCAAGGTCAACGGCGATCGCCTACTTCAACTCTGTGCCGAC